AGTTTTACGAAACAACCACCCGTGCTTAATGCACGAACTAGATATTGTACCATGCGGAGATATACTAGTAGATCACGTCGTACCAATAGAGCGTTCTTAGACACGCCCATAGCATCTAATGTACAATTAGTAATTTAAGCATTTTCCAGCTAGAAATTATTAAAGCAAATTAGATTATCGCTAATGTAAGGCTATATTAGAATGTATGAATTAATTTAAAAAATACGGCAAGTGCAAGAAGCCTATTGTAGAATTCTAGAGTTGTGTGATTTTTGCCTCTGCAAATAGAATATTAAGGGGCCTAGTTAAGAAAAAGCCTCCGTTGACTGTGTCTCTCTCTAGGAAGTTCCGAAAGTGACAGACGTATATAAAATAAATGAACGTCGTGCAGAAAAGAATTTTGGTTCCAGAGTACGTGAACTAGCAACACATTACGACGGGATAGAGTAAAGCAATAAAATCTATTGTTCTGGTCGATATGTACACTCTGGTTAATAAATATAGTAGGGAAACTAATACAACTCGAAATATAAACTGAAATATAATAATAATTACTTTCTTTTTATTTATTATTAATTAATAAATAAAAACTGCTGTATTTTTGGGTTTCGACCAATGTTACAGTGGAATTACTGACACCTAAATTATTAAAGAATAGAAATAACCGTCCTAATTATTTTATTTTAATTATATAATATTATACTCCATAATACAGTTTAATATTTAGTGTATGCAGTTTCTACTGGAAAAATGATTTAGGTAGTCCATTATGGGTACTATTACGTAATTTATTGATGGGTAGAGTAATATTGTATAAGTAATTGTATGTTGTGTGTTAGTTGTACCTCACCATATTCCACTCTTCATTTTTATCAATTTACATTTTTCTCTTCTCATTCTTTAATTTTCATAAAACATTCTATAATCTATTCATTTTATATAAACACATAAAAAATTGTTTACAAGGGTTAGCAGAGCAAGTTTCGCGCGCTAGCGAACCGTTTCAAACAGGTTCAAAAGCGCGGGAGTAGTCGTGACATCACACCATACAATTTACAAACGACGACGGAGATCCCAGCACTCGACCTCTTGATTTCAGATAAATTTTAAGTGTATACTTAAAATGGAAACAAAAACTCCTTATTTTAAATATTGCATTGTACCGTTGTGTAAGAATACTACAATGAAAGTGCCAGATAAAGTATTTATAATATTGCCAGAAGATAAGATTCGTCGATCAAAATGGCAAAAAGCGTGTAGAAGAAATGAAAAAAGACATTTCACAGACATGTAGGTCTCTACATGTGTGTGATCATTTTAATGTAAGTACATTATTAAATGCTATATGTCTATCTACTAGTTTTTCGCAGGCAAGCAATAAAATATTCCGAATTCCGAATTATTGAATTTTAATTAGGGTAGGATTAAAGAAAGAATGTGTATACAATGTTAGAAAATAAGATTAGTAGATAGAATATAATTTAGTGATACTAAGTAAAGGTAATTTCCTGGTGCTAAAGTAAACAGTTATTTATTATTATACTCTTCGCAAATACGATAACGAAGAGTATATTGCATTTGATCGGGACATTTCTAAAATCGTTAATATCGCTCGCAAAGAAAAAATCATTTCGTTCGTCATCGAATTCTGAACAACTTTTAAAATGTCCGTCTGTTCATCTGTCCGTCCGTCTGTCCGTCCGTCACGTTTCTTGTAAGCACGATAACTAAAGAAAGAAAAGTCCGATCGAATTGAAATTTGGGCTATAAGTTAGTGTTAGCTAGAGGAAGAAATCCATTGTTTTTGAAAAAATCAAATAGTAAATAAAAAAAGTTATAGGACATTTTATTTAAAAATATGAATCTACAGAGGGCTGCAATTTTCAATGTGCTACTAAAATTGAAGTAATTTTCTATAGACACCAAAATGCTGTAAAATATACTATCACAAATTTCGCCTACGCAGTCGGCATCATCGGGAGATGAAAAAAGTTTAAAATTAAATATGTGATCAATATATTAGGTATTGTAAGAATGAATCTTAGTTTATACTATAAAATATACTGCCACGCATTTCGCCAATACAGTCGGCACCATCGGGAAAGAAATTTAAATATGTAGTCAATACATTAGGTATTGTAAGAATGAAGTTTATAAGATAAACACAAGATTCTTTTCAAAAAACTGCGAAGAGTATCCTACAGAATGTGCAACAATTATATAAAAGTTCAATAACACTACTGTCTGCGAAGAGTAAAATGTTTACCTCTAGTATATATAGTATATTGCAAATACCTTTCCCTTGCCCTTTAATTTATTCTATTCAAATCTTACATTTATCTATTATGTGAATGATTACACGACACAATCACTTATTTCCCTTTCCCCAAAACATAGTACGAAAATACCTACGATAGGTAATTATACATTTGCACAACATTTCCTTTGCAACAAATGTCTTCTATAGAGACACTTTACACGTGTGTACAAAAAAAACACGAAAAATATAGAAGTGGCTGTTGTAAAGAATTACCCTAAATTCTTTCAAACATAAGACTAAGTCTACTAAAAAAGCTTAGTTACGACTAAGCATTTTGTAGTTATTTCATTTATTCCGTGATCAAGTCATAACTATTTTATGTTTATAAATTATTACTAAAAGCTAAAAAAATACATACTTCTCTGCCTTGACCCCGCGGACCTCTCCAAGGGAAAAACTTTCACTATTTTGTATAAAGATGCCACCATAAACATATCCACTTTAGGCAAATTATCAGATTGGCCCTTTGAAAAAACCTTGTTCAGTCATTTTAAAATATCTGTACAACTACAATAAGCGGTACTATAAAACACAATTATATATTTATATCAGAACAGTCACTAACAAATCAAGCAAAGTCTAATAACACCATATTGTACATATGTTTATATAGAATGTCATACTTTGTTAATTTGTTTGTATTATTATTTTTAAGTATTTTATGAATGAATTGATTTTTTAGTTTTCTTTTTTTCTGTATATAATATATGTATATATTAATATAAATTTTACTCTGTACCCCATACAAGTTGTAAATAATCTACTTAATTGTGAATAAAGATTTTAAACTGGAATTGGAAAACATCTGATTGTGTTGCTTCACGGCGCGACGACTACCGAATATTGTATGGTGTGACGTCACAGTCAATAGTAGCTCGTTTCGGGCCACTTTAATTTTATCGCTGTTTAGATCCTTCATACTGATCGCGTGGAATTAGAAATCTTATTTTTTTATGAAGTACACGTTTTATTACAACGTTACGCTATGTTTTTTTAGTATTATTTTTATTTTTAAAATTATAGGCAAGTTCCCTATTATTAATGTAAAATTGTATGATATAAAAGTACATAAATAATTATTTATTATTTTTTCTATTATTATAATTACAAAATATAAACAAAATAGTAAGTAAATACATACTTAAAATATATATATCAAATCAAAACACTATTACAAATTTCACGGAGGGTTTTTGCTGTTTTTATATATCCGCTGCTGAATAATTTTGCTCTTGACTATACCTTCACTCAAGCAGTTTATAGCCGGTTACGGTGTGATTCCCAGTAGAGGCAGCACTTCCTTGCTCCATTTCTACTGGCAAAGGTACTTATTTAGAAAATTATTTTTAACGAAATGGTACGGAATAGAAATATGAAACTTGCTGAACATAATTATGAAGGTTCATTCTAGAAGCCTTGTATGAATTTTACCGATTTATGTCAATAATTATGGAGCTAGTCACATTCAAATTTTACCTATATTTACAGTGTATATTTTTTCCCTACATGAAGTGAAAATTAATTAAAATAATATACATGTATTCTCTAGTGCACCTTCATCTACCGCTCTTCCAAATTTGGTGTAATTTGACCAAACCGTATGGACGAAATATATTTTGAAAAACTACCTTACAAACACAAGTCGAATTAGTCCTCTTAATAATAAAATTATATTTTGTTAATGCTATTTGAATCGGGAGTTTCTTTTTTCTTAATTTCTAGATCCGGGACGTACTGTATCAACACTGCAGCTATTTACCGCCCTATTATCTATCTGATAGGGAAAAATGGTGTCCTTGCTTTTCTCTTGTGTAGAAGAACCCATCAGAATTTCTAAAGTAAAAGTATAGTAAAAAAAATTTTTCCAAGGAAAGCAACTCAACAAACTCGTAACAGTTTCAGTCAGTAACGAGTTCATATAACCTGACATAACAATGAAATTTTAGTGTTAATAGTTTGTTCAGAAATTCATAGGTGCCCTTGATCGTATTTTTGGTTGATCTCTCGGTATAATCATCCTGTACAGAGTTTTTTTTTGTAGTTTATTAATAACTCCCTTAGTTAGTCTTGCTTTTGTAATCTATGCAAAGTAAGCCACTTAAATTAAAAAAAAAATTTGTCAGATTCCTGAAATTCAAATCAGTTTCTTTAAATCAGAAAACCGCAATAGAAAATTATATAAAAATAGTAGGAATGGTACCATTAAGATAACTCTCGTACATTTATTTTTATTTTTGCCCGCTTAATACTGTTAGTCGTAGTGTATTGCTTATTTCATTTAAACTAAATTGGCGTCCGTGTTCTAGGCCATTAAAGTTAAAACAACAATAAAATTAACCCAACTGGCGTTATTACTACCGAGTGCTACTGAACATTGGCGTGTATATGTTTACTAATTCATACATTGTTCTCCTGTTTATTCTTTTTTGATGCAAAATGGAATTAAATCACAAAAGCGATTACAAAAACTCAAAAATGTCCATAAACTAATGTCAAGGGAGATGTAGAAAGGCTTAGTGCAAGAATAAGGTGTTGGTCTAGAAAGTATCCCTTAGCAATTACGAAATAGTAATAAATAATAATAGTAATAATAATCACTTTTAATTTCCCGTTAATAAAATTTTATATAAAAAAAGACATACATTTTTACAGAAATATAAATTGACATGAATAATTTATGTGGCTTATGGTCGAGTAGTAACGACACTAGACTCTCAATCCAGAGTCCCAGTTTCGACCCCCGGTCAAGGAGCTAGGATTTTTTTAAATCACAAATTAACCCTAGTTTACTTGGATATAGGGTGTGTGTCTGTTGTCTCTAAATGTGTAGCACTCTTTCGCACAAGGTACCTTGATCTACCATTAGAGATGGAGGGGGTTGTATCACCTATGGTGTTTAATGGAAAAAGGGGCATACATTCAGCTCGACTAATAAATACTCAGCTATTTTTCCATTCAGCCCTAAATACGGATACATTATATACATATAAATTAATTATCTTCCTGTGATATTCAAACCAAAATATTAAGATATTTCTATAGCTGTTTACAAAAGTAATACTGAATTTAATTTAATAAAGTTAATTTTAAAATTACTGTGAGCTTAACAATATATCTCTCAGGATCTTTCTAAAACTTGTTATTGGTAAGATTTTCAAATTATCTGAAATAATTATAATATTTCGATATATTATAGGAATATACTTGCCTTTAAAATGATGATTTGCGTGAGGAAATTATTAGAATTTTATAAATGTAATTTGCGTCTGTTTTACATGTTAAGCCACCCAGCAAATTGTAACGTATGTGATATCGGTTGTCTTTTAAGTATACCGAAAATAAATCTGAGACAGGAATTTCGCACTTTTTGGATACGAGATTTAACGTATTCAGTTAAACAAGATTCATGTAAAGAATGACAATAATTGAAACACGTTAATACTAGAGAACGATAAAGCAGTATTTTTAGGTCTCTACTGAGGCGGCATTATCTATTAACATACAGAAGTTTTCAATTTGAGTAGACTTTTTTGTTTGCAACGTGTAATATGCTGCTTTTCGAACAGTATATCTGCGTCTATTAGAACAGCTACTACATTTTTACGCGTTGCGATAGTTTCAGCTCTCACTCTTACTGTGTATCCTTGAATAACTTTTCCCAAACAACATAGGATATGATTTTAAAGGATTTATTTTTAAAGCATGCTTTTTACTATATTCCACCAGATTCTATAAATTAGATAAGAAATATAAGAAATATTCCATGACGCACTGTTGTCATCTTATTTAGGGTAGTGCTAAATACTAGCAGCTCACACGCAGGGTCAAACGTGACGTTAAACATAATTTGCTGCTCGCAACACCTTTACTGAAATACTTAGTGTTGAAATATGGGATGAGGTATGGACATCCCTTTAATTTCCGATATTCGATCAGTGAAGTTAAGCAGCACTGATCGAGTCCGGCAATTGGATGGATGAACGACAGCTCGTCTAACAGTCGGTAGACTGTCAACAGACAATCCCGGGAAGGCCGCTAGCCTGATGTAGGTGGAGAGGCGAGCCCGGGTAGAGGGTCGAAGTGACCTACCCAGGAGGTTTGCCACTCTGCTAGCGATGCACTCGGGCAGGCCCAGGCGGTGGGTTAGCTGACAGTCGAAGACCGTGGTTCGGAGTCCACGCTAAACTGTAGGTCCCTAGGTAAAAAGGGCCCATTGTGGCCTACTTGCCTAGTAAAATAAGTAGCTACTGCTAGCGTTGAAATAAAAATGTCTATACTTACAAGTGTTTATGCACCTTAGACATTTCCACAAGAGACAAATTTTACATGCGTAGCACAAAGACTAAGGATTTGTGCAAGCACTTTACTAAGCTTACCAAGTCATACATTAAAATTAAACAGTAATCATTTTACATTAATTTTACATCAGATAGAAGGCAAAATACTTCAGGTAGAAAATAAATCAGCACAGTCGTGCTTAAATCAAACAACATACTCTAAAAGAATTCTGCTGGGTTCTCCTCTTAACTCCCGCGGCCTTGCTTATTTTTGCGGCTTTTTTCTCCGCGTCTTCTGGGAATAAATGTATTCGTTAGAACTATCAAACTATAAACAACCTATTATTTAATTATGCAGGTAAGAAATTGCCTAACTAACAAGGTCATAAATAAAGTCAAATTCTCTTATATGCCAAATACGGGGTGATCAAAAAGTGGACCGTTACATTCAACGCCTTGCTTTACTTCTAAATGATTAGATAATCGTCCTTGATATTTTACTCTCTGTGATGTACTAAAAAGGTAATTTTTTATTAAGTAACTTTTATATAAAATCCAACAAATGACAAGATTGATAACAATGTTTTATGATTTACGATTTATGTCGAGATGTGCAATATTGCAGCCATATTTGGATCGAATCCCAGACTACCTTTCAGGTGAGATGTCAGAGATTTTTAAGGAAATCTTTAATTTGTTGTTCTATAATCTTGGACATAGTACACGGTATTCTTATCAGGCGAAGATTTTTTAATTCTTTAGGATGTTATTTTTAGCAGTGCAGTGCATCAATGCCTTTTTTTCATATATCAGGAAAAACGATATTTTTTAAACAAAAATTTGGAAAATGTGTAATACACATTTTAATTAAAAGAATCGCTAACCAAACGTGACCATTTTGATATTGAAACAAATTTGTAGTAGGTTTTGAAAATTAAAATTAAATCACAAAAGTTCTCATGCTCTATCTTTCAAAAAAATCCGGCCAAAATCGTATAATAAACAACTTTTTCACAGGGGTGTTCTTATTGGATCATACTGTATAATTCTTCTACTAACATAAATGAAGTAGAAATATGCCGTCTAGTTTTAAGGTTATTCAAATATTTATTTAAGAACTTGTTTAACAATTTGAACATCCAAAATGCAATTAATTGACATGTATGTACCTCCTAACGGTAGAGCAAAATGAAGAAGAATGATTTCATAAAATAACCATATTGATATTTTTATCCTTAATTACAGCCAAACAGGCTATTGTTCATCATGAAAAAATTATTAATCATTTTATTAAATGCGTTCATAAAAACATCACAATAAAAAAGTTATTGATGATTATTTTTTGTCAGCAAACATGGTTTGTTTCAATACAGAAGTGGTCATTACATGCTTTTTAAATATATCAATCAATAGTTCACGTGTACTGTACTGTACTGTCTTATTTTATTATTGATATATACATTAAATTGAATGGAATATATTTTTTGTTCTACTATTATTTTCTTTTTTATCAATATACACATGATATCAATGGCATTTTATATCTTATTGATTTTGTAAATAACTACTTTGTGTTTTTAATATAAAAGATATTCAAGAAAAGTACTGACAAGCTTGGTAGTCTTTTTTTCTGAAAATATTTATATGAATATAAGTAACTTGTGTCGAATTAATTTAATTTGCCCTCCCCCTCCCCCTCAGAAATAACTTATGTTTACCGGTATATATTATACAAAATTAATAAATCATGATTACCATACCTCTTATATTAGGTATAAGAAAGTAAAAACCTTAACTCGAATATTTTGCTCTTATAAAACAATCATTCCTATGATGTATCCTCTTACGCTATATTAACAGGGCTGTTAAGAGTTATAGCCAATGAAAAATAGAGATTTTCAAAGAGGCAGTTTCTGATTGGATAACAGTTTCAACTAGCCTGTTATAAGAATACAACGAGGATAATCATAGACCACACTTATAAGCAGCGGTCGACTAAAATACACACACACAGACTATTCGCATACAGACATGCACACATACATACATATATATATATATATATATATATATATATATATATATATATATATATATATATATATATATATATATATATATATATATATATATATATATATATATATATATATATATATATATATATATATATATATATATATATATATATATATATATATATATATATATATATATATATATATATATATATATATATATATATATATATATATATATATATATATATATATATATATATATATATATATATATATATATATATATATATATATATATTATAATATATATATATATATATATATATATATATATATATATATATATATATATATATATATATGGGACAATCCGCGTCAACCGGATCAGAGCTACGACCAAAATTAGGAGCAACCAAAAAAATCGACCAAGGACTCATTTTAAAGCTTAGAGCATCTACTTTCAAATGCCGAGTGCGCCTTTGAAAAATCCAATATAGCGGCTCCAATATGGCGGCCGGAAGCCGGAGAAAAATCGAGTGTCCAGCAAAAAAAGCTTGTAAAAATAAAAATTCGCAACCGATCGGGTCATATCTTAGCTGAAATTGTAGCTGATGGACGCCCCTAAAAGCTGGCGTGGTAGGTTGACTAAATCCAACATGGCGGATCCAATATGGTGGCCGAATTTTTGAAAAACAACCGATTTGACCAAATTTGGTATTCGGGTGTTTTGGGGGTCACTGATCACGAATCCGATGTCAGATTTGTCAAACTCAAGATGGCGGATCCAAGATGGCGGACGAAATTTTCGAAAATCAACCGATTTGTACCAAATTTGTTATTCGGGGGTTTTTGAGGTCGCCGATAACGAATCTGAGGTCAAATTTCCAAAATTCTCAAATTTAATGTGGCGGATATAAAATGGCTGATCTAATAAGGCGGCGATATTTTAGAAAATCAGCCGATTGACACAAAATTTTATGTAAGGGGGTGTTTGCGGTCACTGATAAATCTGTGATAAGAATTTAAAAATTTTGACAGACTGAAGGTCGAGGCTCATCATGGCTCAAAATGAATTAGTTATTGAAATTTTAGCAAATCACTAAAGCATATGTGCAGTAATGATTATTTTTATGAGTTTTTTTTATTACCTATTAAGTAATTAATCTACTACAGGTTGAAATTGTCGGAACCAGGACAATAGGTTAAAATAAAACGCTTTCGTTTAATATAAACTTCTTCAGGGCTCAATAGCCAAATAATGATGTAGAAATTCCACAACAGGAAATTTTTTTTTAAAGTCCACGTCTGTGAGCATAACAATTACAAGACCAATCAATTTGAAAGTCAATGAAATATACATGTATGTAGACATTAGACACAACAGATTAAAATTTAACAATGTTCTTAATCAGTATTTTTTAAAAACAACCGATTTGCACCAAATTTAGTATACTGGGA